GTTGTATAACTTGAATCTATCACTAGTTTTGGTGTTTAATCCGCGAATTTTGTTGGAAAGTATAGAAAACCCTCTTGGATAGAATCATGGATTTGAGGGTCGAAATGTTATGGGAATTGGATAATTTTTGTATGGTTAGACTCGTGGCGAGATAAGGAATCCGATGATGTGAATTTTGTAATTTTTCCAGAAGTGGGCCCGGGGCTCGGGTTTTGCTAGTTTCGAGATCTTTGCTATTTTTCGATTATTTTCGATTGGGTATTGTTCCCTTAGCATATTGTGATGTATTCGCTCTGAATTTGGTTAGATTCGACGCGCGTGGAGGCCGATTTGAGGGGCAAAGGCGTCGCGAGCTAGAGATTTCACCGGTTCAAGGTGAGTAATTGTAAATGATATCCTGAGGGTTTGAAACCCCGGATTTGCACATCATAGTGCTGTATTGAGGTGACTTGCACGCCGGATAGCGAGCGTGGGGTAGAGCACCGTTGGGGATTGTGACTTGGTCCGTCCCGATTGATGAAATTACTACGTATTTGACTGAAACTACTTGTTATCATCATAATTTGGGTTGATTTCCATGTTTGGGCTTCGTGCCAACTATGTGAATCCTTCAGGGATTGATATCACTGTTTTCGCATTACTTTGCATATTATTTGATCTCGGTCCAAGGTTTTAATACTCTTTTGCAAACTCAGCCGTTTTTCTAAGATTTGAAAACTGAAACAATATTTTTATTGACGTTTTGAGCTGAGAACTACCATGTTGTATTGCCCAAGTGGCTTATATGCATTTCTGGACTGAGCATGGATCAGGCTGCGTGCCGCAGCAGTGTTACATGTGCATTTCTGGACTATAGATAGCTCGGGCTGCACGCCGCAGCGGTGTTATATTGATTTTGAGGCCGAGGGCCTGGTTGATGCCACGAGATGGCTTGATATTGCGCTTGGACTGTAGGAGCCCCTCCGGAGTCTGTACACACCCTCAGTGAGAGCCGTCGACGTTAAATATGGATGGCTCAGGCTGCACGCCGCAGCGGTCATATGCATTGCATTGCACTCATGCATTGGTTCCTGTTTGTATTACGTGTCATGACATTCACCACTCGCATTTCATTGGCTTCTATGCTACTTCTTGCACTACTTACCTGATACCCTGGTGTTATTTGTTGATGGAGTGCTGTGCCCGAGGGGCTGACTTATGTGCTGACTTGTACTATCTGTTTCGCATTCATTTGCTTAACTGTTGAAAAAGACATTTTCAAAAGAGGTTTTAACTGAGCCCAGATAGATTTTCTAAAGGATTTCACGGTTTTACTATTTTCTCAAAGGGTAACACTATTCTATATAGCATGATGGAGTGCCTTTCGTGATTTCTTGCTGCTCAGTTATTATTTACCTTTATTACTCACTGAGTTGGAGTACTCACTTTACTCCCTGCACCTCGCGTGCAGATGCAGGTATTGGTTACCCGGTAGCGGGTTTGAGCTGGTTGAGGATTTGCTATCGTAGCTGAGCAAGGTGACCGCCGGTGTTCGCGGCACCGGACTTCGTCTTTTGATTCTAAACTTTATTCTGTATATTATTGACCCTGTGGTCGTGTCCAGACTTCCTTAGATGCTCGTGACTTGTGACACCCCGGTCGGGCTGTGTTGGGTCGTATATATATCGATTGTTATTGTCATTAAGTTGTATTTAGCTAATCATTTATGTTTAAAAATTTTTGAAAGAGGCATTGTTGTTCTGTTGGCTGGCCTTGTCTTCACGAGAGGCGCCATCACGACCGGGTTGGGAATTGGGTCGTGACAAGTAGAGTATTACACTAAGGGCAAGCTTATGGTGTATCTGTGTGGCATGTGAATGTTCTTTGCTGAGAGTGAGTGAATTCTTTCTATCTATAGTTCCTTGTGCTTGATTTTATATGTGTGGAACTTCTCTCAAAAAAAGTGATGTGAGGGCATGTGACTCGGGAAGAAAAAGCAATTTTTCACCTCTGTTTAGAGTAACTAGAGTAAGCACGTGTGTGGCATGGCATTAGAGTTTTCATCTGAGGTGTGGCTGTTGTACTGCTTAGGTTGTTCTTTCATAATGGCGGGTGTGACATAAAACTGGGTAATGCATCGAACGATTAGGCCTAGAAGTGTGGTTCAACTTGCTCGAGGACGAGCAAAGATTTAAGTGTGGGGTGTTGATAATAGGTGAACTGAACTATGATTAAGCCCTAAAAGAACCACTTTCTTGTAGAGTTTTTATGGTAAAAGTGATAACAAAATGCTCTTATTAGTGCTTTTCATGTTTTGTAGGTTACATACAATAAAAGAAGGCTATGGAGTACTTTTGGGATCAATTATGGAGGAAAAAGAGGCCAATCGCATAATATCCGCCAAGTGCACCATGTGAAATGCACAAACCAGAACTGGAGATGAGCTGCCGCGGTCCCGGCGTAACCGCGGTCGGACCGCGGCGAGAAGCTATTGCAGATTCAGAGAGGCCATTTGGCCGCGGTCCTAGCGTAACCGCGGTAGGACCGTGGCAAGAGGCGTAAAATTGAGGGACTGAAGTGCAAAACACGAAATTCTTAGCCCAAAAACCCTATTTAAACAATAGAACTCGCCCAAGGGAGGCATGTAATATTTTAGAGAGAACTTTGGCAAGGAAAACAAGTGTGAGAGATCACCCAAAACATCATTACTCTTATTCTTCTTTATTTTTCTTGCAATTTATGATTATGAATCTTTTAGTAGTTTATTTCTCCATTGTCATGAGTAGCTAAAAACCTTAATCTAAGGTTTTGGTGGAACCCGTTGGGGATGACTTGGTTGTTTTATTAATATAATTGAATTTGGTTGTTAATCTCTAATTGTTCATCTATGTTTTGATTGTGGATTAGTTGAAAGGGCCCTCAATTATCCGTTCCTATTTATTATGTATCTACTTGAGAGAGAGTGCATATTTAGGTGATTGTATGAACAACATCACTCCCGGAGTATAGATGAGAGTCATAACCGAGGGTTTAGGGGTTGGATTAGAGATAACGAAACCCCGGGTGCAATCTAAGTGAATTGTATTGTGAAATTAGCTAGCGTAGCTTGAGAGAGTGCGTCTAGTAGATTATCATAATTACTTGAGAAAGAATTATGATAGCTTGAACGTTCATGATTGTTAGAGACAACTAATACTCAGATTATATTTGCAACGCCCGCATAGTCTTTTGTGAGACTCAGTTGAGCGTGATCAATACTCTTAACATGGTGTGATATTGTCCGCTTTGAGCCAAGCCCGCACGATTTTTTCCAAAAAGTCTCACACCATTAAGAGATCCCTAAACCTTATATGTAGACTCCCAATTTTTTCAGCTACCAATGTGGGACTTTGTTCGCACACCCAATATGTGTACATAGTGCAAGACTACAAGGAATGTGAGGTTGAGTTATTAAACTTTTAATCCGATAATCCATAGCCTTTTGTAGGTGGTGTATTGCACTGCAGAATACACTTGATGGATGGACCTATATGAGTGTGGAGTGGGACCGCTCCTATGAAATTTGTGGCAAATTTTCTAGAGCACTCATGAAAACCAGGCACACGCATGGCCTATTAGCGCAAAACTGCGATAAACAACAAAGTATGTGGGGGTATAATGTGATAGATAAGACACTAAACTTACAAAAGAATTCTTGGTTCATAGAAGTTTTAAACTTCACCAATTTTTCTGTAAATTTAATCTTATTTTATCTAGGTCTGGTTCATAGTCCAAGAGACACCAGATTCGACGCATTATGCTCATTTGTGAAAACCCAGAAAATTTTCTTATTTATTTTATTATGTGACATTCTTTTTGAGCTATGTGGGGGATTGTTGGAAAAAATAATTTTAATATCTCAAAAAGAAATATTCAAATTGATGTCTTGGTCCATTCTTTTAATATTATCTTAATGAGTCTTTATTATATGAATTTATTGAATATATTTTATTATCTCAACTGAAAATTTTAATAGCTTTGAATATAATATTTTTACTAACCTTGAATGAGTATCATTATGGCTATCAAAATAAGTTTGATTTATTATGATACTCAATTTGCTATCTGAAACGTTTTCGGCTTTATTGCTCTAAAGTTATGTAACGTCTCTTATTGGAAATATTTCTTAACTTTGATAACATTACTTTAATATGCAATGTCCAATTTGGACTATACATAAGTATATGTTGTGTTCATTTTGGAAGGTGGAAGAAAGTAAAACTTTTTTTTTTCTTTTATTGTGCTGGGTTGTCTTTGTTGATCTTTGTTGTTTCTGCTCCTAATTTATACTAGAAGAGCTTGTTGAATCCTGGGGGATACGCCTAATTTTATTTATCACGGTGTGAGCTTGTTTCCAATTTTGTTGATACGATGTTATGATTCATAAAAGCACCCACATTTGAATACTAGAAGATCTTAGAGCTGCTTAACCCAAATTTGAGAGGGAGAACATCATTAACAGCAGTATAATGGATTACAAGTATGAGAATGAAGACCCAATTAGCTAAAATGGACATGTACATTCTTCCGTGTCTTTCTAGGAGTTTAATTTCTATTATGTAAGTGTACATTTCTTTTCCAGTAGCTGAATTAGTATGGAATTTGTACTAATGTTCTTTATATTAATGCTAAATAAAAGGATAATCAGCTGCACTAAGCTTCTTTTATGTTCGGGATTCAGAAAATGGTCAAACCATAATGAGTCTATTGATGCAGTCTTACTTTGTATTTTTGTAAGACGCTACCTGTTTCCCATGCTTGAACCTTGACTTCATGATTACACAGGGACAACTCTTACATTTCCGCCAAAGCTCCCCTTCATTTTGATGGTAAATGCATATCCAAAATAATCCTTAAACCTTCAAATTGGAATGATCTTGACCTTGTTATGCTAATGAATTATTGATTTGGAGCAGTATGAGAGGAAAATGTATGTCACCAACTATTGTGTTGTACAACTTGCTTTCAAAATTGGACACATGAAAACAAAAGCTAAGCACAATATTAATAGAAGCCTCATCTCATCTCTCGCTTATGTTACATGGATCCTTCATTTGTCTTAACATACTCATGTCCGATGGGTGTGATAAAGTTGTAAGCATTTCGTGCGGATTCTTCAAAATACACAAAAAACCGAATACTTTTACCATACAGAATACGTACACGAATCCGAGCAACATTGTCTCACACCCGTATAATGGAAGAGGGAAGGATGGAAAATGAATAAAATTGGCAAAAAAGATTAAGAACACCCCTGAATTTGTCTCGAATTACCAGTCACACACCTATACTTTGCAGGGACCTATTACACCCCTGAACTTGTCCGAAACAGCCCTGAAATGCCAACATAGCACAGAGAACTTTGCACAAATAGCCTCAAAGTAATTTAATGGTTGTGAGAGGAAGAATTTGATGCTAATATAATATACAATCACTACATCAAAAACTTTCTATGATTTGGCTTATATATGCCTTCACAACCATTTTGAGAGATATTCATTTGTTGGTTTCAAGCCACTTAAGAATGCCTTGCTCTGCTTCAGTGAGTTGCTCTTTCTTTTGCTTCAGGTCACCTTCTAGAAAGCCAAAATAGTCTCCGTAGTTGCGCTTATAGTAACTGTCTAATCTCTAAATAGAAGAAACAAAGGTAAAAAAATAATTTAAGTAATTAAAACAAAACAGAGGGATGGGAAATGATATAACCGAGTAAATTGTAGAAAACCAAAAGAAAATCCACAAATATTTTGACCTTATGCACTTAATAGGATGTAGAAATTCCTTTAGCAATATGTCAGGAGAATTTTTGTACTTCCAGTGCATTTTCGACTATTATTTTAAAAGCGGCTATACAATGTCATATGTCCTATTTAAAAAGTACTAATTGCACACGGTTACCTGTAGTATTTTTTAGCTGACCTGATCGAATAAAAATTCTTTTACATTGCTAATGTATAGAAAGTTAAACTCATGATATTTACCTCCTTATCATTCTTGGCCTTGTTCTCTTCTGACTTCTTGAGATATCCTAAGGAGCATAATGGAAAAAAATATTATTTTCAATAGTTGTGATAAAAATTTTAAAAGTAAAATATGAAGGAGAATGTGGAAATCCAAGCAACAGACTCTGAAGAAGCTCAGTTTTAGAATCATTGACTTGGACAGCTGCAATAACTGTTGAAAATAGAAGCTCTCTTCTTCCATGCCAAGTTTCTTTTTTTGTTGTCACTTTAATTTCTTTGGTATCAGCTGCTTGCACATAAAATCTTGAAAGAGAATAAGCACTACTTCCAGTAGTTAAGGCCATAGAGAAGACAAGTTATTTACTTGTTATTTCTCCATTTCAAAGGTTGGTATAAAACCTAAAATCTTATCTTTTGTATGTGAACAACTCTTTTGAAATATCTATATATGTGGACCCTTGGGGGACCCATTATATTACTGTGGAAACATGCTATGTTTCAGGAGTTATATAGCCATGTAAAATCTGCTTAGCATATTTTCTGGTTCTTGTTGATTTTTCTCTTTACAGTTTCGTGTTCCTAGATCTTTGTTATTCCATGTTGTGTCATTCTTACCAGTATTGTTAGTAGTATTCTTGTATTTCTTTTCTTATATCTTTGTTATTACACGTAGTGTCTTTGTTTTTTTCTTATTGTTGTTGTTGTTATTGTTGGTTGCTTCCTCTTTTGCGTTCCTTAAGCCGAAGTCTATCAGAAACAGCATCTCTACCTTCACAAAGTAGGGATAAGGTCTGTGTACACACTATCCTCCCCAGACCCCACTTGTGGGATTACACTGGGTTTATTGCTGTTGTGTTGTTGTTGATTTTTCTTTGAGAACACTGGTGTATGGCCAGCTTGTGCGGATCTCTACTATTTGATGGAGTACATGTTGCCTCCCACCCGCACAAATACCGGGTAACTTTGACCATCAAGACTTGGGAAATGGGAGAAAATCACTTAGAAATCATCTAGTCTTTGTTTCTCTATTGCAATTTGAGCCCTAGTCTCCCATCGTTTTTTATCCGTAATTATTTACCCAAAGTTATGTTTTAATAAGGCGAAATACATAAACGGCCCCTTCAAGTTGTCTTCAACGATCAGACAAACACCTCAACTGAGCCTATTTTCAATTAGACACCTCAAGCCTTCATAAAGTAAGTCAACTAAACACCCGACCTTGTCAGTCCACCTCGCGTGAAATACACTCTCGGATTTATATCAAATGAACGAATGGGAAAATGCCACGTGTAATTTTAATTAAAAAAATTGCCACCTAATATTTAACCCAAAAAGAAAAATGATAACTAAAAGAAGAAAGAAACAAGAATTCCTAGAACCACCGCCTGTCCTCCTCCTCCTCTCCGATTTCCTCTTTTTCTCCTTCACCATTTTCATTTTCACACCCTTTTTCTTGTTTTTTTTTCCCATCTCCTTCAGATCCCTTTCCTTCATTGAGCATTAACCAAAATCGGGTTTTTCTCAAATGGTCGAAACCTCCGCCCAACAGTCCTGTCATCTTCCTCCATCAGCCCCAACATGGGGTTTTGCTCAAAAACCAGATTCTACAACAACCCAAGACCTTTCATCCATCTTCCTTCCCCGCCACTCCTCTCTCCATTATTGACTACATCTTCTTTATTCTTCTCCTAAACACCGCTACTTTCACCATATCCCTCGCCGACGTCGCTAATGACCACAACATCCCTCGCGCCCAACTTCTTCTCTACATGAGCAATTTAGCTACTCTTTTACAAAGTCACATTGGTCTCTCCAAAGATGGCTTATTGCCTTTTCGCCGGTGGACGGTGAGTTGTTTGCTGGGTGGTACCGTGGCCGGAGTGACATTTTGGGTTGGTAGTTTGATGGACCGGTAGTGTGGAAGTTGGGGTAAATATTAGTTAGTAATTTAAGTCATTCATGCGCTGAAATTGGATTGAGAAACACACAATATGCCATGTCAGCATGATGTGTTTAGTTGACTTACTTTATGAAGGCTTGAGGTGTCTAATTGAAAATCGGCTCAGTTGAGGTGTTTGTCTGATCGTTGAGGACAACTTGAAGGGGCCGTTTATGTATTTCGCCTTTTAATAACGTTGATAATTTTACAACACCGTACCATACGCTACAAGTTTTGACATACACGCATGTGCCGAGAAACTAGTATATAAAAAAGGAGACTAGATTTAGTGCTTTTTGTTTTTTGATAAGTGATATTTCATTACTTTTTTTTAACCATGTATTCCTATTCCATTAGCCCGACTAATCAAATTTTGCGTCAGGTAGAGAACTAAAGACGGTAAAGCGCTCCTTGCCGAACGGTTCTCCGAGACCTTTGATCAAGGATGTAGTAGTTATTTATATGACTCACTTCTGAGTAATCTCCAGTCATCTATCATGTTTACTAATTATATATACAACATGGTATTGCATAAAAGGCATCTTAGAACTACACTTGCTTATAAGGGTGAAATAGAAGAACTAACAAAGTCAACAAAAATGATTGAGACACTTTTCATTTGTTGGATTGAAGAAGTAATTGCATTATATCATAAGAAGCAAAAGCTACTCACTTGTAAAAGGCATGGAAAATGACCACACACAGTTTTCAACACCAATGGCATATAAAATTATATTATATACTAAAAACAGATATATCAATTTTTTCAAACCTAGAAAAGATGTGACAGAGGACTTTGTCAAAGTAAACCACCTTCTCTTTAAACAATTTGATAATTACTGGTATTAACAGTGAAATGAAGACACCTTACAGACACTCTGTCCTTTTTCTCCCCCTATTAAATCAAGTTTCTGGAGAATTTTGATAAACATAAATTAAGTCATTGACCGTAGAATGCGAAACGGAGTCTTGGAGCAACGGTAAAGTTGTCTCTGTGTGACTTATAAGTCACGGGTTCAAGCTGTGGAAGCAGCCATCACTGCTTGCATTAGGGTATGTTGTCTACGTCATACCCCTTGGGGTGTGGCCTTTTCCTGGACCTTGTGTGAAAGCCGGATGCTTTCTGCACCTGGCTGCCCACCGTAGAATGCAATTTTTTTCAATTCATTAGTAAAAACCTAGACTAATTAATGCTGTTTTATTCATGAAGATTTTCTAAGAAAGAAACTTAAGAATAATATAGTTCAAGTGTTTAGCTAGACAATAAGCATTTAACTGCTATATAAATCTTACCACTTGACAACCTAGGATATTATTCATCATCTTGAAGCTATGTGGACCCTCAAAATTTTGCTTATATTTGCTACTTTATTTAATCATTTTTCCATCGTTTATGGCTGCCATGAAACTGAAAGAGCAGCTCTACTGAGCTTCAAATCAATGCTGGCTGATCCATCTGATCGGTTATCTTCATGGCAAGGCGGAAATTGTTGCAATTGGGAAGGAATCAAATGTTCAAGTTCAGGTCATGTTGTAGTTGTGAATCTCCGGAATCCTAATCCGGATGAAGTCATTATCAATGTCAATAAGGAAGTTGTTTCAAATTCTAACAATACATCCAATGCCCTCAATGGTACCATATCTCCATTGCTCTTTACTCTTAACCATATGCAATATCTTGACCTGAGTTTCAATAACTTCATGCTCTCAAAACTACCTGCTGAGATATCAAACTTAACTAAGTTGACTTATCTTAACCTCTCAAATGCCATGTTTCAAGATTCCATCTCCACACAATTTTCAAACCTCACATCTCTAAGGTCGCTTGATCTTTCGTGTGCTAATTTAGTAATTGATTTATCTTCTATTACTATTAGCTTGACATTACCACCAAAGTTGGATTTTGGCTCACTGTTGTCTTTTATCAGCTATGGTCGATTGTTTAGTCCAAATCTAAGGTGGTTAGAAGGACTCCGAGGCCTCAGATATCTTGTATTGGCAGGTGTTGATCTATCAAAAGCCTCCGAATCATTTCATTGGGCTAAACCAATATCAAGCCTTTCAAATCTCAAGTCACTTCAATTGTCCTACTGCAAAATTTCAGGAAGAATTCCGACAGGGCTATTACTTAACCTTACTAATCTTTCTACTCTAGAAATGAGTTCTAACGCTCTAACATCCTCGATACCTGATCTGCTATCGAACCTCACAACCCTCTCAACTCTTGATTTTAGCTCCAATGATTTAGATGGTCATATCCCTTACCTTCCTCAACTTGAGGAACTTTATGTTGCTAGTAATCCTGCTATGATCATCAATCTTGTTTCAATGTTTTCAGTCCCATGGTCAAAGTTGACATTTCTTGACATAAGTCTCACATGGGTAGGTGGAACGATTCCTCCTTCGTTAAGCAACTCAACTTCATTGACCTTTTTCCGAGCTGATGGATGCTCTATCCAAGGGTCGATACCTTCTTCCATCACAAACCTTAAGAAATTAAGTGTACTGATGCTCAATGACAACAATATCACAGGCCAACTTCCTGTAACCATGTCCAGTTTAATAGGTCTTCAATACTTATCTCTGTTCCAGAATAGTTTACAAGGGCAAATTCCAATTTCAATTTGTCAAATCCCCTCCCTTGAGTACCTGAATTTAGAATGGAATGAGCTAACAGGACGGTTTCCCTCGTGCATACTTCAGCTTCCTAAGCTTTCATATCTTTATATTCAGATGAATAAGCTGAAAGGCAATATGCCATTTTCTTTGTTCCAAAAGTCAAAATTGGATCAAATTAGTATAGGAGCTAGTGGATTGTCATTGGAAATTGACGATCAAGATCAACCCTTTGTGCAAACATTTCAGCCCGAGATTTTAGAATTTACATCTTGCAACATGAGAGGAGAAATCCCAGATTTCTTCTCAAATTTGACGAACCTCACAATCTTGAATTTGGCGAACAACAGCCTATCAGGAGCCATACCATACTGGTTATTCAATCTCCCTGCCCTATCTGTTCTAGATTTATGTATGAATAACTTTGAGGGAGTTATACCTCCAACGATTCAGCTGAAATCTTCTCCTTTTCCAACAATAATAAATTTGGCCAGCAACAACCTTCAAGGTCCAATTCCCTCTCAGCTCGAGAATGTTAATGTCATCGATTTGTCACTTAACAACTTCATAGGGTTAATACCAACACAGATAGGAGAAGTTCCCGGTATCAGGTCCATTTCCTTATCCGGAAACAAAATTCATGGTCCAATACCTGAATCATTTTGCCAAGCAACTAATATTCTCCAGGTTCTTGATCTCTCCAATAATAGCTTGTCAGGCGCCATTCAACGTAATCTTGGAAACTGCAAGTCTCTCATTTACCTTAATCTTGGACAAAACAAGCTCAGTGGAAGTATTCCAAAAGAACTTGAACGTGTTACAAGCCTTCGTTATCTGGACCTGAATGGGAATAAGTTTGAAGGATCTTTCCCAACAGTCATTGAAAACTTTCAGGATTTGGAGATTCTGAACTTGGCAGGCAATAAATTTGAAGGAAGGATACCAAAGTTCATCGGTAACCTACACCACCTCCGTATCCTCGTGCTTGCATCAAACTCTTTCAGTGAATCTATCCCAGAAGGGCTAATGAAGTTAGAAAATCTACAATATATTGGTTTTTCAAGGAATAATCTATCTGGCCCCATTCCTGAGAATCTTGATGGCTTGAAAACGATGATGAAAAGACAAAACGAGGCGACCATCTTAGGTTATGTTTACTCCCTTAAATTCACTGGTGCTCAACTAGAAATAGTCACCAAAGGACAGACACAATTGCTTGAGTCAGTGTATTCCTACAACACTGGATTCGACATCTCAGGCAATGCTCTCACTGGTAAAATCCCTGAGAAAATTGGCCTTTTAAGTGGAGTTCCATTGCTGAATCTCTCACACAATAATCTTACAGGGGTGATCCCAAAGACTATTGGTGACATGATTTCCCTCGAGTCGTTGGATCTCAGCTATAACCAATTAACAGGTGAAATTCCAGAGACATTAACACTGTTAGATTTCCTTCAGGATCTCAACTTGTCTTATAACAATTTGAGGGGAAGGATTCCAAGCGGTCCGCATTTTGACACTTTGTATCAAGATGGAACAGCATATATTGGAAACAAATACTTATGTGATGCACCTGGTGGGATGAATTGCAGTAACAATGGTCCCTCTATCACTGAAACTGCAGAGAAGAAATATGATCAAGAAAATGTCCTTTTTGTTGTAGTTATATTCTTGGGCTTTGTAACAGGAATTTCTGGAGTATTTCTACTCTTATATTTGATAGATGACAATTGGAGGAAGAGGTACTGGAGAGCAGTAGACAGGATTGTGTTGAAAATAGTTAGCAGTGAATCATGATATATTCACTTTTGTTCTGTTTGAAGTATAAGAAAATTTAGTATCTGTATAAAATTCCATAGTACTTGTGCAATGTTTGGTTTCCACCATAAAATCTGCATAACTTATAATACAGGAGTTGTTCGTGCAGCCAGAGGCGGAGCCATAATTTGAAGCTTGTGGATTCGTGATTCTAGTTCGTTTATGTTACTGGGTTCTAAATTAACAATTTATACATATTTAGTGAATTTTTTAAGCCAAATACATAGGTTTGGACTAAAGTTACTAGGTTCGGCCGTACCCGAAGGAGATGAGATGGAACTCGGTAAAATCATACAAGTTTTATCTTTCAATAGATCATAGTATTTTTTTTTACCAACATGTACAAGTCAAGTAACATCTATATATTAACTAAAACATTCTTGAGGCAAAGGAAGCTAAAAGTTGGTATCATTTCATTTTTGGTCGATAGTGATGATAAAGGAAGTACATCATTTGCAACTACAAAAATATAGGACTTGGTAATAGCTCTTATATTGAGATTAAACTAAGTATAGCCCAGAGGCGTATCTAGGATTTTTAGTACATGGGTGCACTGCTAAAAAAGAGGAGGAAAAAATATATTAAGTGGGAATTTGTCCCTATTCCTCCTAGTAACTAACTCAACCTTCAACCAAGTGCACCATTCAACCTTCTTGGAGCATGGGTGACAATAGTTAATATTATATCAATTTTAAAAAATATATACATAAAATATCTAATTTTGTAGCGATACCATGAGTTCACGTGCCCATGTTTATGCCTATAGATCAGCCCCTGGTATAGCCTACTGATTACCAGTTACTATATGAAAATGGCAGTTGGATAAGCTGGTCCCAAAGAGTCTGATTCTGGTATCTAAAAATCCATAGGATCAGAAGAATATAGTCACACCCATTCTGGGTAACCCTTCTCGCCATGGCCTCCTTGTTGGGATCGAAATAACATGGTGCATGCGGAAACTAACAATACAAAGCTTGGTAGACGATAAAACAGGCGACAAAAGAAGAATATACTAAACTAAGCATAATAGTTTATAATGGTTTGGTCAATTGATCTACATATGATAAAACTAATATAAAAGAGTAAAAACTATCGAGAGAAAAATCTCCCCCTAAACAAAACTCTTTAATGACTACATTGTGAATATTTTTTTGTGCTCTTGTGAGAAGCAGAGATCCTTAATTTATAGATGTGCAAAACTTGTCTTTCAAGAAAAGATAAGACATATTAAGTAGATTTAATCCTTTTAGGAGTCTTTTTCCATTACTTCAAGAAAGAGAGTCCTAATAGATTAGAAATTCAGGGCAAAATCCTTACACTCCTGCCACCGGAGAGCATTCCAGGCATAAGTATTAGTTTTTTTTTTAAGTTACTGGATTCTAAATTAATAATTTATTTTTTAATAAACTTCTTTAGGCAAATACATAATTTAGATCAAAGTTACTGAGTTTAGCCAAACCTATAATAGCATGCTAGCTTCGTCCCTGGCTGCCTTGCGTCATGAGCCTTGTGTTCAGGGCCCTAACAGTACAAGAACAACACCAATTTGGCCAAACGTTAATATGTCGCTGACCGGATGGGCGACCTACGGTTATAACGGTTAAGTTGGGGATTTTCTAAATATATCGCTGAAAAAGAAGCAATTAATGGAGATTTTTGGTAGTTTTCTTCCATTAAATGCAAGCAGTAACATCCAACCACTTGGAGATTTATAGATTATTCAATACTCCCTCCGGTTCACAATAAGTGACCAGTTTCCTTTTAGCACGCATATTAAGAAAATGCTAAATCCTATACAAAAATACCTAGTATGACTAAACTACCCTTATTAAATATTGGTCACATAGTTATAGTGAGGAGTGAGAAAACTTTTTAGGGATATGCACATAAGGGTAAAAGAGTAAAAACAAATTGAATTTTTTCTTGATTACATAACTGGACACTTATTTTGGACCAAAATGGAAAAGTAAACTGGTCACTTATTGTGTACCGGAGGGAGTAGTCTTTAAGAAAGCTCAAGAACATCAAAGTCTTGAAACCCAGGGTTTTTTTTGGTTTCCCATCCGGTGTCCGGTACCCACATTGGGGCCCGACTAAATCCGGATTCGCGCCGGGAAGTCCCACATTGGGGGGTAAAGCGCTCCCTAACAAAGGCGACTCCATACCCAGGGGCTCGAACTCGAGACCTCTGATTAAGGATGAAGGAGTACTTACCACTCCACCACAACCCTTGTTGGTGAACCCAGGGTTTGCTACAGAGATAACCCCACTTCTTCATTTTTGTATATTGTGTTTTATTAAGCTTGTATAATATAATTATGGAAGAAAAATTGGGTTTAAGCTATAGATTAGAGGAACCATAGAAATGGGTCTTGAAAATGATGATTTTAAAGTAAGAGATGTGAATAGTGAGATGTTGATACAAATGGATTTTTTCGGTATTTCTAATTTGATATTTGGGAAAGTGGGTGACTTTGTATACAATACTTGAATGATATAATTGGTGTAACTTTGAGTTGTTGTTGATAAATAAACATCGTATTGTGACTTCGCGTGATAATTAAGCAAAGTTGAGTAACTTTGCCATCACAAAAAATAATTTAGCAACTTTGATGCAATAAAGTAAATAAAATTATTTATAAAATTAGTCAATCTATGATAGATGTATGCTTTTACAATATGGTTTGTCTCAATCTTCTAAATCTCCGGGTGGCTAGAATGAAAATATACCTATACATGTCGTTTGGTTGTGGCGTTGGATCAATTAATGTATATCCCAAATAAAATCTTGTATGTTAAGAAATTTAGCTCAACGTAATAATATAAAACAAGAAAATAGATAATAATATAGAGAGCAAGAGAGAAGAGATTTTTATTTCTTCCATATATTCAAGTGTGTATAATGTGATGTCCAAACCCTTTATTTATAGGATGACATTGAAGTATACAAATGGACATAAACATGGTATTAACTATTGAGAACATGGGGGAAGATCATGGGGAGGTTATGGAGGTGTGGGAGTTACTATTAAGTGTTTGTCCAGATTTTCTTACCATAATTGGTTTTCCTATCTCATGAAGGAAAGAACAACATATTTACCATAATTGGATTTTTTCTTTTCCTAAAAGGAAAATATAATTCTTCCATATTTTGCTAGTCCCTTTTCTAGTAGGAAAAGGTTTGGAGTTCTATAAATTGAGTATCCTTCCTTCTCATTCAGTAGCATCCACAATGTAGTCATAGGGGGCTTGAGAGTCTTATTTAGAGGGAGAACTTTACAGGACAAGTGTTAGTGTGTCACTGTGTTTGGCTCTTCGTGAGGTTGTTCTCTCGATATTTTGTACTCTCTTTTATATAGTGGATTGCTCATCTCCTCCGTGGATGTAGGTCAGTTGACCGATGTCACGACCCGGATTTTCCACCCTCAGGAGTCGTGATGGCGCCTACTAATAGGAGCTAGGCAAGCCAATTAATTTAACACTTCTCTCAACATCATTAACAGTATAAAGAAGAACGAGGCAATTAATATAAAAGCGGAAGTCTCGAAACATAAATAACAGAAACCAAGTGCGGAAATTCAAATACACCTCTACCCAGATCTGGTGTCACTAACTCACGAACTTCTACTGAATGCTAAATACAAAGTCTGAATAAGAATACAGTACTGTCTGATCCGATACAAGGTAAATCAAACGAAAGACAGAGATAAGAGAGATTCCGGGCCATGCGGACGCCAGCAAGGCTACCTCGGAAATCTCCGGACTAAAGTAAGCTCCCAACGCTCCTACTACTGAGGTCCAAAAGCTGCTCCGGTACCGCAATCTGTGCAAAAAGCACAGAAGTGTAGCATCAGCACAACCGACCCCATGTGCTGGTAAGTGCCTGGCCTAACCCCGGCGAAGTAGTGACGAGGCTAGACAGGACGTACCAAAAACAACCTGTGCAGATATATATATACAAAGGCAACAGAAATAACAACAGAGAATATCAACTAAAAAGGGGAAGGGGGCATGCTCGGGGAAAAATACAGCGAATACAGATCAACGGATATAACGACGAAACTATCTCAATACCATAGCTCATATATAAGTGGTCGGCGCGCCACACGATCCCATTTCTTAATTCATAAGTGGATGGTGTGCCACACGATCCCATTTCATAATATATAAGTGGTCGGCGTGCCACACGATCCCATTTCATAATATATATATATAAGTGGACGGCGTGCCACACGATCCCATATCATAGTTCAAAATATTTGGTTTTGTAAAGAAGGCCCCATTAGGGGAATTCGACAACATAACACTTTAACCCGGCAAGGGTACATCTAACAACCCAAATATCCCGGCAAGGGAGAGTACATAATAATAGTCTACACGTCCCGGCAAGGGAATAATCACAACACATCCTCTTTTAAATCACTTCTTTCTCAACTATCACATTCTTGTTCGAGCCAACGCTCCAAAATATACCAATCACAATTCTTCCTCAACCGTTCGCATTATATGAAATTTATCAATTAAACAAGGAAGTTGTGTCACATCATTCGAATTAAAAGCAATTAAGACTCACGGTCATGCTAGACTCCGGTGCATAGACAACCGTCACCATGCCTATACACCGTACTCCACATTTAGCAAGTAGCAAATAACATCCTAATCCTATTCCCTCAAGCCAAAGTTAGAACAAACACTTACCTCGGTCCAAGAATAGCAATCAACTCTCTAATACCGCCTTTCCTCTACAATCCAACTCCGAAACCATGATATCTAGGCATAATTAGTTCAATAATATCAATAAGGGCTCAAAAATATAATCTCATAGCCTAGAAATGAAATTCCTATCATTCTTCCAAAACACCAAAATTCGACACCGGTCCCACATGGTCCAAACACGAGGCTCGGACCAAAACCCAATCACCCATAACCCCACGAGTTCAAATATATAATTTATTTCAAGATTCGATCCCAAATTGAGG